GTTCCCTTGGCAACAGTCATGTTGGAGATTGGCCTTAGGGTAGGAGCTAAAAAACACACTCAAAAAAAAGAAGTTCTCAGCTGTTGGCTGTCACACTGGGGGAGGCTGCTGGCACAGGGGTCACCCTGCCCTGTGCCCCAGGCTCTTGGGGGAATTCTCTCCTTTTGGGGGCCCCCCAGGGAGCTGTGACACCAGGAAAGGCTGTCGGGGTGTTTGGGGGGTTTGTGGTGGCCCAGAATGGGGAGGGTTTTCCTCCCAGCACTCGAGGTGTGACCAGCTGGGTCTTGGCTCTTCTGCTGCAGCTCTGAGCCTTGGTGGGGTGGCAGGAGATCCTGTGAGCCATGGGATGGCCTTGGAAGGAGGTGATCCTGCTGTCCTGGGGTTTCCTGAGGGTGCCACTGCCTTTTCCTGAGTGAAGAGGGCACCAGCCTGGTGTGAACGTGCAAATGGAGCCGAGTGGAGCCATCCAGGGGGTTCTCCAGCTCCCTGATCCCATCCCAGCTCTCCTCTGGGCCTGGGGGTGCTGGGAGGGCTGGGGGGGGCCCAGGCTGTGGGGATTAGGGAGGAAGAGGAGGAGGAGGAGAGGAGAAGCTGCTTCCCAGCCCTGCCCAGCGAGGATGGAGCCGGAGCCACACTGGGAATGTCAGCTCTGGGAGTGTCCAGCCAGGGCTGGAGGAGGAGAGGAGCATCCTGTGGTCCCAGAGCACTTGGAATCAGCCTCCCTGGAGCTGCTGATGGATGCTAATTGCTGGCTGTGTCTCTGCTGCTGAACCCTGGGCAGGTGTCACCAGCAGCTCCTGGCTGTCCCCTGGCAGGTCTGGCAGGAGGTGACAGTGTCCCTCTGGCCACAGACGTGGTTTCAGAGGTGTCTGGCAGGAGGTGACAGTGTCCCTCTGGTCACAGGTGCAGTTTCAGAGGGTCTGGGGTCGTGGCAGTGCCCCTCAGACAGGATCCTGCACCTGGGAGCTGCTGGGGACCATCCCCGTGCCTTGGGAGACCCCAGGGTTTGGAGCAGGAGGTGATGAGAAGCTGCATCCTCTTGCTGTGCCCCTTCCCAGGGGGAAGCCATGAACAAATGAGCCAGGAACGCTCATTTACAGAGAAATCCTCTGGAGTTTGGGGTTTGGGGTGAGGGGGTTTCATGTGAAGCCCCTGGAGTCACCAATTCCCCCACAAGGAATGAGATCCCATCCCGCTGGGAGCTCAGACACCGGGATTCCTCGTGAACCTCTGGGTCTCCCAGGGAGCTCTGGAGCTGTGTCCCTCATCCCATGGCAGAGCTGAGCTGGGAGCTGCTTCCCACGTTCAGGGAACATCATTTGCATTCCTGTGACAGTCCCTGTCACCCTGGGATCAAACCCTTCACCCTGTGCCAGGGACAGCTCGGAGGGAGCGGCTCCGGGGGCTGGAGGTGCAGAGGTGGGAGCTGCCAGAAGGAACTTGAGGAGTTACCAGATGGATTTATCCCTGCGAGGAAAGCAGGAACACCCTGGATTGCGCAGCCAGGTGACGCCACACGGGGATGTCCCCTCCTGGAGCCCTGTCCTGGATCAGCCTGGATCCCTCTGAGCCTGCTCCAGCCCAGCCTCCATCTGCTCCCTGCCTGGATCTGCCTCCTGGGGACAGCCTGTGTGACCACAAGGGACATCTGGACGCCACCAGGTCGAGGAAGGAGCCAGCCCTGGAGTTGCAGGAGGCACCTGGCAGCTCCCAGAGGGATGGGATGTGTCCTGGCACCGTCACAGCACCGCTGACGCCGGATCCGAGGTGGAACGGAGCAGATGCACCCAAACAGGAGCAGGTTTCCCTCTCCTGGGAAATCTGGAGCGACTCAGCTGCCTGGAATTCGGGCTCTGGGTATTCCAGACTGTGGATTCACACCCTGCTAAAATCAGCCTGCCAGGGATGTGCACAGCAGATGTCTGAGCCTTCCTGAGCCGTGAATTCAAAATTCCCGCCCGGATCCCCGCAGGAAAGATGCCCAGGGCTGGGGATGGAGCTGTGGAGGGAACTGCTGGAACACAAAGTCCTTGGAGAGGAGGATAAGGCGCCTTGGAAAACATCTGTGCCCACGGGAATGAATTGGATCTTTGTGATGCTGAACCCAGAGTAAATAGGAAAGAAGGAGGGAAATGAGAATGGGGTTTTTGGGAAAGAAGGAGGGAGATTTTTTGAGAAAAAAGGAGGGAAATGAGAAGCGTTTTTCTGAGAAAGAAGGAGGGAAATAAGAAATGGTTTTTTTTGGGAAAGAAGGAGGGAAATGAGAAACATTTTTAGGACGTGACTGTGAACCAGAGGCGTTGGAGGGCTTGGAGCAGTGGGTGGTTTTCCCTGGGGTTATTTCTGCCACAAAGATGCTTTCACAGCCTGGAAAAAAGCTGGGATGGGGTGGACATTCCTTGGAGAGGATCCTGCAGCTCCAGTCTCGCCCCCCCACAGCTGCTGGGTTCTTCCCAGGCCTCTCTCCCTGCTTCCCTGAGGATCCTCTTGGTGAAGCTGCTCCGTGGTTGTGTCACAGAATTCCTGGGATGCAGAGGATCAGTTTTTCCTCGTGGGAGCATCCTGGGGCTGGAGGCTCAGAGCTGTGGGGACAGTCACTGCTGGATGGGGACACCAATGCCGGGCTCCAGGAGCGGCAGAGATGTCGACATCGTTTTCCCACATCATTTTTTCCTCCCCTCATAAATATGAATGCAGCCCCTCTGCAAAAGTGCACGGCTCTAATTAATGAAATATTGATTTTTCTGGAGCGCTTCCGCTGCACCAGCAAACACGGGCAGCAGCTCTGGGCCCCACACAGAGCTCAGCAGAGATTTTTGGGGTGGTTTTGGGGAGCCTGAGCTTGTCCCTGGATCCCTGCAAGCATCCAAAGCCAGGCTGGACGTGGCTTGGAGCAGCCTGGGATGGTGGAAGGGGTCCCTGCCTGTGGAAGGGGCTTGGAACTGATGTCCCTTTGCAGCCCAAACCATTCTGGAATTCTTCTGGCTTTTGTGAGCCTCCATCCAAACCCTGGCATGGCAGCTTGTGCCCAGAGAGAGACCCCATGGGAGGAGGGGGAGACCCCCGGGGTGGGTCCTGCTGCTCTGGGGGTGCTGTGCCCCCTCCTCCCCTGGCTCTGCCCCTATTCTGTCACTTCCAGCAGGTTCCAGCTGCGGGGTTTGGGTAAATCCTGGCCATTCCCATCTGCTCCAGATGGAGCCCCCCAGGGATCTGGGTCATGCCAAGGGGGGCTCTCGGGGGCTGTGCCCCCCAGCCAGGACAGCTCAGCCTGGGATGGGGGAATGTCCCCTCCGGGGTGTCCCCATGGTGTCCCCCAGGGCGGGGATGGCATCCTCCATGTGTTTAACCTCTCCCCACAGTAATTCCTTAATGAGGCCAGGCCCAGGGCAGGGTGCTAATTGTGTTAATTGGGTGTCAGACCCTCGTCCTCAGCATCCCAGCTGCAGTTTGGACAACAGGGCTTGGAAAGGCCTAATCCCCTAATTACGGTGTGGCAGGACAAAGGCTCATTAACCAATTAAAACAAGCAGAGGGGGGGATTCCCAGGGATGGATTCCCAAGGATGGATTCCCAGGGAATAGATTCCCAGGGGGGGATTCCCAGGGATGGATTCCCAGGGGGGGATTCCCAAGGATGGATTCCCAGGGAATAGATTCCCAAGGATGGATTCCCAAGGAATAGATTCCCAGGGGAGGGATTCCCAGGGGATGGATTCCCAGGGGATGGATTCCCAAGGATGGATTCCCAGGGGAGGGATTCCCAAGGATGGATTCCAAAGGATGGATGCCCAGGGGGGGATTCCCAGGGGGAGATTCCCAAGGATGGATTCCCAGGGAATAGATTCCCAGGGATGGATTCCCAGGGAATAGATTCCCAGGGAGGGATTCCCAGGGGATGGATTCCCACGGGATGGATTCCCACTGATGGATTCCCAGGGGGGGATTCCCAGGGGGGGATTCCCAGGGGGGGATTCCCAGGGCAGAGCAGGGATGTGACAGGGACGTGTCCCCTGGCACTGCTGGGGTCCTGCTCATCCCATGCCATCCCCAGCGTGGGGGTCCCGGGGGTCCCTGCTCAGCTCCCGCCATGCCAGGGCCTGGAGAGAGCAGGGGATGAGTCAGGGAAGAGAAAAGAGCAGGAAAAACTTGGCCAGTGAGGATGAACCTGATGGGGAGGTTCCTGGGGATGAAGGGTCTTTACACCAGGAATGTTTTTAATCCCAGTTTGAGGTTTCTCTGGAAATCCTGGCCAGCGAGGGACTCATGGAATGGTTTGGGTTGGAAGGGAATTAAAGCTCATCCCATTCCACCCCTCTCACTGTCCCAGGCTGCTCCAAGCCCTGTCCACCCTGGCCTTGGGCACTGCCAGGGATCCAGGGACAGCCACAGCTGCTCTGGGCACCTGTGCCAGGGCCTGCCCACCCTCCCAGCAGGGATTTCCATCCCAAAAATTCCTTCTTCCTTCGAGGAGTTTGTGATGGGAGCAAAAGGATAAATTTCCCTTCACCTTCTGTGTGGAAAATGAGGAAATTCAGGTTCCCTTTCCTCCCTCTCCATTCGCTGGGCCTGGGGATTGTGCCACGTCCCCCTTGTCCCTGGCACGGCAGCTTCCCAAAAATAGCTGTCCTTGGGACAGTGGGGGGTTATCTGATCCTGGAGCTGCTCTTCCCTGCCCTTGCGCTGTCCTGCTCCTCCAGGAGCCCGAAGGAAGGGAAGGAGGAGCTGAGGGGACACGGAGGGACACGGAGGAGGGACCCCAGGAACGGGCACTGGTGGCACTGCCCGGGCTGGGCGCACCTTTGGAGCATCCCAGTGTGGCTGGCACGGAGCCCCAGGGCTGTGGGGCAGGGCTCTGTGCCTCTGTGAGTGTCTGCAGGCTCTCCTGCTCCATCCTGGGTCCCCCTGCCCGTGTCCCTGTGAGCTGCCGTGGGGACAGCAGCGTCCCCTGTCCCCATGGGGGCTGCAGGTGGGGCAGCAGGACTGATCCCAGCCTGATTCCCTGCTGGGGAATGGGATCACAGGGAGAAATCCCCTATCCCTGCTGGGGAATGGGATCACAGGGAGAAATCCCCCATCCCTGCTGGGGAATGGGATCACAGGGAGAAATCCCCTGTCCCTGCTGGGGAATGGGATCACAGGGAGAAATCCCCTGTCCCTGCTGGGGGACAGGGACACACAGAGAGCCGTGCTCAGGTGGCTTTTGGGGATGCTCTGGGGGGAGGTGGCAGCCAGGACCCCCCTAATTCCCCCTCTCCACGTGCAGAGAGCCAGCCCACGACGTCGGACGAGACCGTGGTGGCCGGGGGCACGGTGGTGCTCAAGTGCCAGGTGGAGGATCCCGATGATTCCTCGCTCCAGTGGTCCAACCCTGCCCAGCAGACCCTGTACTTCGGGGAAAAACGAGGTAAAAACCCCAGAGCTGGAGCTGGGAGCGAGGATGGAGCCGCGAGGGGACAGCGAGGGAGGGTGACATCCCCTCCTGCTGCCACCAGCCCGTGCAGGGGGTGGTGGCACTGAGCCCGTTGTCCCTTCTCCCTCAGCCCTGCGGGATAACAGGATCCAGCTGGAGAGATCCACCCCCAACGAGCTGACCATCAGCATCAGCGACGTGGTGCTGGCCGACGAGGGCGAGTACACCTGCTCCATCTTCACCATGCCCGTGAGGACAGCCAAAGCCCTGGTCACCGTGCTGGGTGAGGGACAGTCCCCCTGCCACCCCAGCAGCTCCCAGATCCCTCACGCTGTGGTGTGCACACCCAGCTCACGCATTTCTGGGTTTTTTTTGTCTCCTTCTCCTCCTCAGGGATCCCCCAGAAGCCCCAAATCTTCGGCCACGAGCAGCCCATCGATGAGGAGAAGGTGGCCCGGCTCATCTGCCGCTCCTCCGGCAGCAAACCCGCGGCACAGCTGCGCTGGAGGAAGGGCAACAGGGAGCTCAAGGGTGGGTGGCCCTGTCCTGGGGGCTGGGACAGCTGGGAGGACAGTCCCCTGTGCTGTGGGACAGAGACCGTGTGTCCCCTGCTCCAGGTGACATCAGCCTCGTGCCTCTGCTGGGGTCTGTCCCTGAGCTGTGGCTGTCCCCTGTCCCCACAGACTCGGGCACAGAGGTGGTGGAGGACCCCAACGGCAAGACCTTCACAGTGACCAGCAGGGTGGAGTTCCGTGTCACCAAGGAGGACAACGAGGTGGAGGTCACCTGCACGGTGGACCACGAGTCCCTGCAGAACTCGGAGAGGTCAACCACGCAGAAGCTGCAGGTCCACTGTACGTGCTGGGGACGTTTGTGGGGGTGGAGGTTCAGCAGATCCCACAGCTGAGGTGTTCAGGGACACGCAGCCATCGTGGTCCTGTCACACCTGGGCCATGGCAACGTCCCCACTGCTGTCCCTACATCCTGCGTGTCCCCATCTCCCAGGGACTCATCCCTGCTCCCTGCCTGCACCACGTCCCTCATCCTGTCCCCACTGCCCTTCCCCTGTTCCCTGTGGTGGTGCTGTGAGGGGCTTGGGGACACTCCCCAGTGCTGATGCCACCTCTGGGTGCTGTCACCCCTCTGCCCTGCACACCCAGAACTGGCCCATGGGTGGGATTTGGGGTGGCAGGGGCAGGTTTTGGGGTCGTGGGGCAGGATTTGGAGTTCCAGGGGCAGGATTTGGGATGCCAGGGCAGGATTTGGGGTTCCAGGTGTGGGTTTTAGGTTGCCAGGGCAGGATTTGGGATGCCAAGGCAGGTTTTGGGATGCCAGGGCAGGATTTGGGGTTCCAGGTGTGGGTTTTGGGATGCCAGGGCAGGATTTGGGATGCCAGGGCAGGATTTGGGGTGTCAGGGGCAAGTTTTGGAGTTCCAGGGGCAGGTTTTGGGATGCCAGGGTAGGATTTGGGGTTCCAGGGCAGGATTTGGGGTGCCAGGGGCAGGATTTGGGATGCCAGAGCAGGATTTGGGGTGCCAGGGGCAGGATTTGGAGTTCCAGGGGCAGGTTTTGGGATGCCAGGACAGGATTTGTGGTGCCAGGGGAAGGATTTGGGGTTCCAGGTGTGGGTTTTGGGGTGCCAGGGGCAGGATTTGGGATGTCAGGGGCAGGTTTTGGATGCCAGGACAGGATTTGGGGTTCCAGGGCAGGATTTGGGGTGCCAGGCACTCACCCTGCTGTTCCTCTGCCCTTTTCCAGACAAGCCAACAGCGAAGATCGAGCCACACCCGCAGTACCCGCGGGAGGGGGAGAAGCTGCAGCTGCAGTGCGACGGGCAGGGCAACCCCATGTAAGGCCTTCCTCACCTCCCTCCTCCTCCTCAGGCCTTGGCCAACCTCCCCTCCCTGTGCCAGGCTCCCTCAGCGAGCCCCCCCAGAGCTCAGGGCTGGCTTTGGGGTGTCCCTGCCGGGCACTCCGTGAGAGTGAGCACAGCCCCCCATCCTCTCCCGGAGCAGCAGCTCCATCCTGGCTCATCCCTGAACGCAACATCTCCCCCCGTGTGTCCCGGGGGATTCCAGGCTGCTGACCCCCACCCCGTTCCTCAGCCCACAGGAATTCCTCTGGGAGAAGGAGGGCAGCGATGCTCCCCTGCAGCTCAGCTCCGAGAGCGTCCTCATCTTCCCCTTCCTCAACAAGAGTGACAGTGGCACCTACGTGTGCACGGCCACCAGCTCCATGGGCAGCGTGGTGGCCAAGTACAACCTGGACGTCAGTGGTGAGTGTGGCGTGGCTGGAGTGTCCTGGGGAAGGGGCAGGGGGGTCACTGCATCCCCTGTGCCCCAAAAGTGTCACCGTGGCACCCCTGGGATTGTCCTTGGCTGGGGAGGGGCAGCTCCTGCTGCTCCCCACGTGGTGCTGTGGCCTGGGCTGCCCTGACTGTGCTCTGCTTGTCCCCATGTCCCCGTGTCCCCATGTCACACGTGGGACAGGCTGTGTGTCCCCATGTCCCTGTGTCACACCTGGGACAGGCTGTGTGTCCCCATGTCCGTGTGTCACACCCGGGACAGGCTGTGTGTCCCCATGTCCCCATGTCACACCCGGGACAGGCTGTGTGTCCCCATATCCCCATGTCACACCCGGGACAGGCTGTGTGTCCCCATGTCCCCATGTCACACCTGGGACAGGCTGTGTGTCCCCATGTCACACCTGGGACAGGCTGTGTGTGTGTCCCCATGTCCCCGTGTCACACCCAGGACAGGCTGTGTGTCCCCATGTCACACCCAGGACAGGCTGTGTGTGCCGTGTGGCACTGCCTTGCCCACCCCTTGCTGCCATCCCAGCTCCCAGTGCCGTTCCCAGCCCTTCCCCACTCAATGTGATCCCATTTCCCTGGGATTTTCCCTTGGATTCGAGCTGTCCCTGCTCTGCTCCCAACTTCTCTCCATCCGTCTCTGCCAGGCTTGGACTTTCCCTGTCCCAGTGCTCCGGCTCTTCCCTTTCCCAGCTCCTCTCCCTCCCTCTCAGCACTCAGTGTCCGTCCCTGCAGCGCATGGCAGCAGTGGCACTTTGTCCTCTGTGTCCCCTCCCTCAGCCTGCCCTCAGTGAGCCCCCAAATGCCCAGCCCTGTCACTCCTGTGTCACCCTTGTGTGTCCCCCTGTCCCCTCTGTGAGCGCTCAGAGCTCTCTGCACCCATCCAGGAGCTCATCCCACGGGAGGTGGCAGCCACTGTCCCTCGCCCAGCTGGTGTCACCACCCCTGTGACTGTGTCACCTGTCACAGCAGGCGAGTTCCGGATCCAGGCTTGTGGAATTCCCGCTTCCATCCCTAAAGCCTCTGGTGTCTCAGGCCCCGAGAGCCACCTCCGTGCCCAGCTGAGCTCTCCAGCCTGCCCACCTTGGTGCCACCCCTGCCCAGCACCCGGGGACCCTGTGGTCCCCAAGGCCACCTCGGTGGCACCTCGTGGTGGTGGCACCTCCCTGCTGTGCAGCCCCAGCGTCCCTCAGGGGGTAACCAGGCTCTGGCAGGACAGGAGACGGGGGCATGTGGTCACAGTGTCCCAAAGGCTGGTGGCAGAAGCAGAGTGGGACCCGTGGGGTCACGGATGGAGCCAGAGTCCCCCCCGCCGGGCTCTGTCACCTCGCTGTCCCTTCCCAGCGTTGATTCGTGTCCTGTGTTTTTGTTGTCCTCCCCAGATCTTCCCCAGCTCCCCACCCCACACGTTCACTCCACTCCAGCCCCTCCGCCAGGCCCTTCCCAGCCCATCTCTCATGCTTCCATGGCCTCCGCTCCATCCTTCACTCCAGCTCTCATCCAAGGTACCGTAAGCTCCTTTTCTGTCTCTTTGCGGACCCGCTGCTCCCCAGCCCGGCCGGAGAAGCTCCACAGGAGGACGGTGGCCCAGCCCTGGCCTGGGGACAGCCCTGCCAGGTGCCCAGCCCGGCTCTGGTCCCTGGTGTGTGTGGATTTTGGAATTTCCAGGAGGAGCGCCGGGCTGTTCCCGGCGGGCTGTGGCAGCAGCTCCCCGAGCTGCCTCTTGTCCTGTGTGTCCGTGTCACGTGTTGTCCCTCTGTCCTGCTGCCTCCCCTGTGTCCCCCCAACCCCGTCCTTCCCAAATGTGGCTCTGTCCCCACCCTGAGCACAGCGGGAGGAGGATTTATCGCTGTGCCCAAAGATTCCAGCACGGATCCAGGACAGGACGTGGCTGACTTGGGACCAGCTTTGGGGTCCTGCTGTCCTTGGGGTGCCATCACTGCTCGGGGGGTGCAGCCAGCCTGCATGTCACCTCCCACCCACGCCTGCTCATCCCCCACTTTTCGGGGCCAAAACCCCATTCTGGAGGATGGCATTTCCCCTTTGCTTCCCCCGCTGCCTTCCCCGTTCTCGCTGCCAGGATCCACGGCAGGATGGAGCTGCTGGCACAGGATGGAGCCCCCGGGGGGAGCGGCAGCCTCTGCTCCCCTGCAGGGTCTCAGCTCCTGCTCTCTTTTCTCTCCCCCTGCCTTGGGCAGACGCCAGCCCGGTGCCCTCGACCTCCAGCACCTACCACGCGATGATCGGCGGGGTGGTGGCTGTCATCGTCTTCCTGCTGCTCAGCCTCCTCATCGTGCTGGGACATTACCTGATCAGGCACAAAGGTACGGCCTGGGGGGCTGCAGGGGGCACCAGGACCCTTCGGGGGGCTCGGGGCTGTGTCTCTGGGGCAGCTCCTGGTCCTGCAGCTCTTCCCGAGTCCTGGGAGGAGCCAGCGGAGCCCCCCTGGGTCTGGGGTCCTGCCGGTGGCAGCGGAATGTCAGGAATGTCCCAGTGGAGCTGGGCAGCACCAGGGGGAGGCAGCTCCCACCTCGCTTCTCCATCTCTGCTCCGCACCCACCATCCCTGTCCCCATCTCCACCTCCTCCCTCTTCCTGCTGCTCCTTCCTCCTCCTCTTTTCCCTCCACCTGCCCTTTTCCTGCCCAGCAGGTTTGTGCCCAGGCCCTGGGGACACGGTGCCACCCCGCCATCGGCCACCCCCTGTGCTGATGTGTGAGTAGAGCCCCCCACCCTGCTCTGGGGGCAGCCGCACCCCTGCTTTTCCAGGAGGGGTGGGTGGGCAGGCAGGATCCTGATGGGCAGTGGTCACTCTGCAAGTGGACACTGCTGCAAAAGCCTGGAGCACCCCCAGTGAGTCTGCATCCCGTGGATCCCATCCCATGGATCCCATCCCATCCCGTGGATCCCATCCCATGGATCCCATGGATCCCATTCCATCCCGTGGATCCCATCCCATCCCGTGGATCCCATCCCATCCCGTGGATCCCATCCCATCCCATGGATCCCATCCCATCCCATCCCATCCCATCCCATCCCGTGGATCCCATCCCGTGGATCCCATCCCGTGGATCCCATCCCATCCCGTGGATCCCATCCCATGGATCCCATGGATCCCATCCCATGGATCCCATCCCATCCCGTGGATCCCATGGATCCCATCCCATCCCATCCTGTGGATCCCATCCCATCCCATGGATCCCA